AGAGTGAAAAGAAGACTGCAAAAGAAAAATTGAGGGACATTAATATTTAAGGGGTATACAGAAGAAGAAAAGTCAACAAAAGTGACATACAAATCATAGGAGCTATAGAAGCAATGAAACAGCTTGAGAAATAAATAGCAATATGAATGAAGTCTGAGTAGGGTAAATAAGGTCCTTGCAATTAAGAGATCTTTGGTGGCCTAGTTGGGAACATTTTTGTGGCATATCCAGAGAAGAAGCCACATTGCATAGGATTAATATGTTTAGTAAAAAAGAATATAGAGTCAACAAGTTTATACTATGTTGTCATCAGTTTGAAGGTCAGGAGAAGGAAAGATGTTAGCTAAATGTCAATGAGAAGGGAGTTGCAAATAAGTTTGGCTTTTTTGTCATTTTTTAATTTTAACATAAATGTTATTTGAGCATATTTGTAGGATGGAGTAATAAAATTAATGATAGCAAGATTGAGGAGGGAGAGTAAGAGATAATTTATGGAACAAAACCCAAAAGAAAGAACCAACAGCATTGGTTGACCAGCGTTTTTCTTGGAAATAAGGCTTTCTTTTTCATAGAAATAGTGGTGAAATTTGCATTTATTAAAGGATTTAATGAAAAAATATTGAAGAGTCTGTGGAACCCACCAGACTAATGATCAAATTATGGACCCTGGAAAGATGAAGGCCAGGAAGCGATCTTCTTTCCTGGTCTACACTTCTTTAGACAAGTTCATAATGGAACCCTAACACTGATGAGCTGAACCCAAAGAAAGACAGCCTAATAGCCTGTACAAAAGAAAGGAAATTAGATAGTAATAAACACTGTGGAGAAGAAATGAAATTCAAAGTAAAAATCTTTATCTACTTCCATGCAAAGTCTTTATTGTTCAAGAGTTTGTATTGAGCTATCTGAAGAGTTTAAATGCCACTGTGCAACCCTATAGTTATAACTCTGGGGCAAGAGCTTGAAGATCAGTTAAACAATTCTTGTTCTAAGAGGGTGAAATCACAGTCACTCTCTTTAGATCTCTAGGGAAAGAGTCTGCTGGAAAACAAAGAAGAAACATGCAGAGTAGGTGTGGTAACCATATTTTCTGAGCCCAGTAAATATCAGTCATAATCTGACATGGTCTGGCAATGAGACAAATATTTGACATCAGGATTAACTTGATAATGCTAGAATATGTGCTTGCTAAGGAATGAAAGATTTCGAAAGCGAAGGTATCCTATTAATAGTCAATATTAATAGCAAAGTGTCAGTCCAAGCAGAAGCAGCATTCTGGATATCAGGACTGCTCCAGTGAAGGAATCTTTTCATGCTCTATTAGTGCTTAACTCCTTCTTCAAATATTTGGTAAATGCCTATGCACACAGGGCACTGGGACAGACACCCAGGATAGAAAAGTAAGATAAAGTTCTGTGGAAGAGGTATATTTATGAGAGAGCAATGAGAAGAGAGTGCTGCATACACACTAATAGCAAAAAGCATAGTTGGTGCAGAAGCTAGAGCTGCTAGGTTGCTGGAGCAAACGACATTTGGATAAAGATTTGCAAAAGGAGGGAATAGTGGACTGTCTTTTAAAGAAAAGGAAAAGTGAACCTCAAGGAAAAGAACTTAAAAGATATCTTGCCTACTAGCTATGTCTCCCAGACAAGTTATTTCCATTACGACAGTTCAATGGTATAAAATATCTCACTAGTGTAAAAACTTAGTTAACACTTATATGTGACTATAGTTTATTCTGATCATTATAATCATACTTCACTAGCCCAATATTAATATTTTTGAAATCCCAAACCCTTCATAGAATGTGGACAAAATCGAATTTGAAGGCTTTCTTAAAATTTAGAATTTGACTCGATATTCACAAATTTTCATGGAGTATATTCCCCTTTATATAGAACCTTTACTTATTTACCCAACAACAATGAAGTTGTTCAGTTACACATGTTGATTCAGTTTCTAACTTAGAATAACTTTATTAACTGTAACTTTTCAATGTTTTAAATTTGTGTTATTTTCTTTTTCTTTTTGTTTTTAACACTAACTGAATAACAAGACAAAAAAAAATGATTCGAGTTAACTTTGATGCTATACTACTTAGATAACCAGACTATGATCTAAAGCTACCTGAAAAAAAATTAAATTGACTTTTACCTTTACAAAGAAGCCAATAATTTTTAAAATATGTTCTTGATAATATAGGCAGTGAACTTTTAAGTCCCAATTTATTATTTCTGAAAACTTTGCAGAGTTTGGAGGAATGAGGAAAATTTCCTCAATATGGGCATATAAAGTAATGCTAGAGAACTCAAGAACTGGTAATTTTGCTGCCTAAAGAGATTGTCTTATAATTAGATGAGTATAATATTTATGCCCATTATTCTCATTTGCAAAAGACCTACACTTTGCAAGAGCCAAACATATTGGCCCCAGAATTGCTCTGGCTATTTTCATGGTATGATTTTGGATCAGAGAAACATTAAATACCTAGCTGAAACAAAATTTTTATTGATTGATTGATTGATTGATTGATTGGTTGATTGCCTGCTTACATGACGAGGGCATGCCATTGGTACCTGCTTAGAAACACACTTACATATCAATAAATTAAAACTGTCATCCAATGCAAAACTGTCATCCAATCCATTAAATTGCTATAGTTTGGCAATATCAAAATTTCAAGTAATGATCAATTATTTTAATAGGAAATGTTTGTTCACAAAATACATAACTTGGACTAAAGTAATTTTATGGAAAACTAGCATAATTTTACCGAAGTGGCGTATGTATCCATTTTGTATGACTTTCAAGTCATTATTTTAACAGGTAAACAAATCACCTCAATGTATATCTCAAACTAACATAGAAACCAAAGCACATTTTAAAGAAAAAGCAAGCTTGTTTCCTGAATAAAACCCTACCTTTGGAGCCATTTGCTTGGAGTTGGCAGGTGAGAGATAACCACCTATATCCGTAAGAAGTGGGGGCCCAAAGAAAACCAAGTGAGAGAACTGTCTCATTTCCTCTTCCTCAACATTTTTATCCAAGGGAAATCAAGTTAAAGTGAGGGAAATAACAAGAAAATTTAATAGAAAAAACATTCAGCCTGCGTGATTCCTTAGGATTGCTGTGGGCAGTCTATATATGCTTTCTCATAAGTGAAGGGTTAGGAAATTATTTGTTAGGCTAATGGTGTTTAAATGCATTATCAGTTTTATGTCTTTTTAAAATAAGTATGTGCTATCTAATTGTCTTTCTGCATCACTGCCCTATACCTGGTTATAGTTGAATAGAACTCTTAGAAAGTATGAGACTCAAGGAAGGATATTTTAATTTTCCCACTCTTAGAGAAGTTTCTATTTTTTATGGTGGCCTGTGTGTCTTTGGGCAAGAGCTGAGAGCCTAATTGATAACAGAGACAGAAAAAAGATACAAAGAGTCCAAAAGAATCACACTGGTTCTGATAGACAGCCAGAAACTAATCAATCCTGGATTTGAGTTAAAACTCATGTAAAGGATTAGTTTCATATCACCAATAAAGTCTCAGATGCCAAATGCTCATTTTCCTTTTCATTCCAATGTTTTTTAGTCATATCAATACAACTTAGAGCTACCTAGCTAAGGAGGTATGTAGAGACTACTTCTTCCTAACAGCTGTTTAGTATTAGAAAGTAATCTTAGAGGATTAGAGGACTTATGTCCAGTATACTTTTAGGAACACTTCTTGGTGGTGAATTGGCTCCCAGGACTTTAAACTGACATTGAGTCCTATATTTATTTGGTGTCCTTCTTGGATTATCTTATTTATACTAAGTCATGCTTTAATTTGTTTTATTCTCCAAAGTGGGCTTTATCCCAACCTCTTCTTTTCAATAGTAGACCAGCTTGGGTAAGAACTAAAGATAGCAATGGTAGGAAACTAAATTTCTGAAGTCTCAGAGGAAGAAGATTGACTGACATTTCAATTTCAGAGAATATTTCAGATTGCCCTCTACACGACTTTCTCTCTGCCTGATGTAACACAACTATTATAAGTTTTGTGGGTTTTTTGACAATTTACAAAAGCACAATTAGCAAACAATATAAACCTTTCTAAGATGCTTGGTAACGTATATGCTGATCCTTCACTTTAGTTACAAAAATAAATGCTGCCAAGTTTGTAGATTGGTGTGTCTGTTTGCTTTTGTTTATTTATAGTACAAGCTATTTTGTAATATTGATTAACATTATTTTAAGAACAAACCAGATGAAAAGTTGGCCTTTAAAATTTGTACTGTTAAGAACAAGCATTAAAAATCAGTTACCTCGATCTAATTATTTTTATTTTGCCCCAAATTGGCTCACAAGCTATAAATAATTGAATACTTAAAGAAAAAATAAAAATAAAATTTGAAACTTTGAATCTTGAACTTTGAGTTGTAAATTGGCATCGAGGAAGAGAAATCAGGCTTGTCAACTCCAAAGAAGAATGAGGGCACTTGATCCTATAACTTTTAATTCCAAACTTGGGAAAATGTGAAAATACCTTCAAATAAGGCACAACACAGCCCTCAAAAATTAAATTTTAACTGAACTTTTACTGGGCCTATTTATAAGGATATTAAAGATTGAAATATATTTTAAAGCAACACATATATTCAGCTAATGTATAACATGTTAGCTTTCTAAATTATGAAATTATCATGTTCTCGAGGATATTTTTGTCATGCCTTGCACCCCATGCTATAACCAACAGAGGCTTTGCTATTTATTATAGTTCTTATTTGTATGCATGCCATGCATTTCAGTCGATTTTTTTTTCATATATAAGAACCCTCCTGGTTTCTTTACAATTTCTCACACTTTTGCATTTGGTTTCAAAGACAAAAAAAATAAAAAAGAGAAGAGAAAAAAGTATGTGTTGTTTGAAGTTACCATGTAACAATCAAAATGCTTGTAAAAGAAACAAAAGCATGACTTCTCAAAACTCCAAAGTAATATTGCTTATGGTCCCTCTACAGCTAGATCCCGAAGCTAGCACTATTCTAAAAGAACTTCAAGTTAAACTCAACGGGGTTCTGGATGAGCTCAGCGTCATCTATGGTGAAAGGTAAGTGGCCTCGGTAGTTATTACCTAACTGTATTAGGTTTCAGTTCATAATATGCATGCCTCCAGTTCTGTCTCTCTCATCTGGTTCTAAGTTCTAACTTAGAAGATGATAACTAAATCCATTTAACATCATGACCCGATCTATGCATCATTTTCTCTGAAAAGTCTTTTATGACCCCATGATCTAACAGTGATGCCTCGCCATGCACTCCCCAGAACTCTGTGCATCCCTCAGTTGTGTAGTACTTAGAACACTGTGTTCTACGTTTTGTTTTATCTGCCTCTTTCTCTCACTTTTCTATATGTTCCTTAAGGGCAGAAACCATATCTCATATATATTTGCAATTCTAATGTCTAGAACTTAGCAATTGGTTATGGAAAGAATAAAGAAAGGGCTGGAGGAAGGGAGAAAAACTTTACGTACACAAGAAATATGAGTTGTGTTCATGCCATACATATCAACATGGTTGCTCTTCAGAATAACTGAACCCCAATCCTATACCAGGTTAACTCAGGATTCTTGATTTTAGGGCTTAAAAGTCTGAATGCAACTACCCCCATGGGCAAGAGTTTGGAAACTTACTGACATATCTGTATTTGCTTTTCTGTGGTATGGTTCTAAAGAAAGAGATGTTCACCTTCTTTCAAAATAAACTTCATTTTGGTCCTTTAGAAAAAACCATCATCTCATCATCAAATGTTAAAATAGATAGGAAAGCAAATGCATATTTGAAGGAGGTCATTAATTTATAGAAGTTGCTTTAAATATAAGTTCAATAAATGTTGGTGTATTATTTTAAACTGTATGTCCAGTTCTCAAACAAGACTGTAAAGTTTGCTGTTATAAAGAGATAGGTCACCTCTTTGAACACCACGTATCATCTGTTGTATTTTAGAAAGGTACACAATTACTAAAGATTTATCGGTTAGTTATACCATTTTTAAATCAGAAAGACTAAAATGAAAAAGACTCTGGAAGCACCCTATTTTTTTCCCTTGGGTATAGGGATTTCTCTCCATTATCAGAGGGGTGTCCATAACCCCCTTGTGTTAAGTGGCATTGTCTGTGTAGAGGCCGCCTCCAGGCACAGGTGCTGAGCCGGAGAGACCTTGCTATGCTGAGCTGGGGGTAGTTGCTGTGTTGCTCTGTGTTGTTAGCTGACTTCTGTCTACTTTGGACGGTAATCAGAAATGTGAAGTTTCTGTTTACCTGGAGTTGGAGTGGCAGAGATGGTTCCAGAGATGTGGGGCTCACTGGCTCTGAGTTGGGATAACACTTAGTGATGGGGCCTTTTATTCAACCGTTTCAACCTTGCCTCCCTTCATTCTAGTTGAGAATTAACCATGGCTAGCAGAAAGGCTGTTGCCTTCAGCTCAGAAGGCAACATAAGAGATTATTTAGCAAAGTTAGGGGGAGCAAAAGTGGGCCAGGAATAGCTAGAGGTGTTTAGAACTCTATGGGAAATAAGATGACTAAACAGAATAGAATGAGAATGAGAAGATAGAGAAGTCTATTTAAATTACTTTCTGCAAAATATCCAAATCATCTTGATGCACAGTGTTTTTTATTTTGTTTGAGAGGGGGGGAATATTCAGGTTGTAAAGGGTAAAATATGAATTCTGGACAAACTTCAATTATGCAAGAATAAGTGGTGCCTTTAGGAGGGCCCTTGAAGTGCTTTGTTTGTATGATGTCAGCTATTTTAGCCTAGATATTGAAACTCATGGCTATCCAGCATCCATGCCTTCCTACTTTGTTCAATTAGGATTATTAGGATTAAAGAGGCCACATTCCATGCTTTCCTTATAAAAAGAATGACATATCTGTGTTGCTATGGCTTTATTTCTCACACTACCAATCAGGCCTGCATCACACTCTTAGAGTGAGTGAAGAGTCCACAGTGAGCAATGTGAAGATGCTGTAAAGTCAAACTGCATAATTTTAGTCTGAACCCACCCTTCCTAGGGTCTAAATTAGCAATCTAGGGCCTTAAAATTAAGTGCATAATTAATTGTCCAAATCCTCTTTATCTTACATTATTAAAACACACAATTAAATAAATCTACTACATGTAGTTGTTAGGATAGCTCTGTAGTAAGCCAGGGATGAACCAAACAACATAGAAACTGTTTAGGAAACTGGTTTTCACATAATTGAAATATAAATGTCATATCTTCTGTTCAATCTATGCCCCCACCCCAATGCATTGATGTGAAAATCAATGCAAAAGTAAGTAGCTATTTCAAACATTATTATTACTACAACCAGCAGGATCACAGATGACCCACTGGTAGTAAGTCAACTAGTTCAAATTTTCCAGTATCATTTGCCTTCCTTTTCTGTTGCCCCAAGTATGACCCCACTACCTTTGGCCCAAAGGCCCACTACCTTTGACCCCATTAAATACACACTCCACCACAAATACCATCGCCTTTGCCATTTTCCCCACCATCCCTGCTGTGACCCTCCCTTGCAACCACTACCTGAGAGAAGTCCAAGGAAGCTCCAGCCAGTTGAAATCCAAATAGTAGAGATTTAGATTACCCAGGATGACAGCTTGGAAGGGAATGTTCCATTGAAGCAGAGAGAGCCAAGAAATGAGCCACATCCACAGGCACCAGTGGAGATCCAAAGATCAAGGGATCACATACAAATGCCAAGTCCAGAGGGGCAAAAATGGTGTTGTCAACAGTAAAGAAAGGCAAGGAGAAGTCAGGAGCCAAAGATAGAGACAGGCAAACATGATGGTAGAAATACAATCAGGCATTGAATAAGTGCTCAAAATTATTGACCAATGTGTTGAAAAACCTGCTATTAAAGGCCCAGGAGCAAGAAAAATGTCCAAGTTGTGATAATTTAAAATCTATTAAAGATTTCCCATATTAGGCAGTAAAACAAAAAACTGGAAGAATGAAACACTTAACAGGTTAACTAAAACATTCCATAATGTAAATGCTAGAATAAAAGGTCTCACGTGTGCTACAAGAACCAGAAGTTTTCCTGATTTGTTCATTGATGTATCCTCAGCAACCACAGTGGCAATTGGCACGTAGTAATTATTTTTTAAATATTTGCAGAATGTAGGCATGCATGAATGAATAAACAAATATGTGTGTTCTATTTAATTCATAATTAAAGCCTTATATAGTGATAATTCTTAAACTTCTCTATAAGATTTGAGGAATTTATGCATTTGGATACTTCTCAAATAACAGTAACTGTGTAATCATTGTATATGGAGGAAGAAGAGGAATGGAATTGACTTGATTGCAGTACTAAAATGAATGTCCTCTGTCCATCATAACCATTCCAGTGATTTGACCATTTTCTAAGCTTTCATTTATCTTGATTCACCTATGTGGGTTTTTTTTTCCTTGCCTTCCTGCACATGTGTTATAATTACTCCTATTGTTGGAAATGATATGGATGTCAGATATGAGAATCTCATTAGACTTCTAAGAGGAAAGGCTACATAGGCAGTTGAATAAAATAATCTAGAGTTTAGGGTAGAAATCAGGTCTGGAGGTGTAAACTTGGGAACTACCAGTAGTATGCAGAGAGTATAGAAGCCATGGGACTAGATGTCATTACCAAGGAAATGATTGTTGGCAGAGAAATGAAGTGGTCCAGAAGACTACAACGTGGGGTTGTCAGATAAAATACAGAATGCCCAGTTAAATTTGAATTTAATATAACCATGAATAATTTATAGTATCATTTTGTCCAAAATATTACATGGACATATGTATATTTTAAAATATTCACTATGTGAAGTTCCAATTTCACTAAGCATCCTTGTGGTTTTTTTTATTTTATTTTATTATTTATTTTATTTTTTATTTTAGCATATTATGGGGGTACAGATTTTAAGGTTTCAATAAATGCCCATTTCCCCCCCCCCCTCTACAAGTCTGAGTTTCCAGCATGACCATCCCCCAGATGGTGCACATCTCACTCATTATGTATGTATATACCCACCCCCCTCTTGTGTTTTTATTTGATAAATATGGCAACACTACTCCAATGGGTAGAGGTCAGGTGATTGAGAAAGAACAGCCTTCTCAATGTTGGAGAAAAACCAGGAGAGTGTAGAGTCACAGAAACCAAATGAAGAAAGTGTGTCCAGAGGCCAAGAGTCTTTCTAGAGCAGCCATTTCCCCAAACAGATGCTCAGAGGAGCATATCTACTGTTACTGTCAGAGATGGGGGCTGAACGAATCCCCACTCAAATTAATTCAACTTGAAGAACAGCACCTTTATCTGCTTTACCTATAAAGGGCTCCAAGTAAGCTTTCATTGTAGTAAACATTTTTGCAGTGGAACAATGAGTTTTGAAAACTAATGGGCAAGGAAATCCATACCATTTAAAACAGATCCAATGCCCCAAGGTGGAATTAAAAGAGACTCAGGCAACATGTTTACTTTTGTTCCAGAATTTATATTCTTTCTTTTTAGTTTCCAGCTTATAATTGAAGAGTGTATAAAACAGATGAGTTTTGAACTGAATCAAATGAGAGCAAATGGGAATACCACATCTAATAAGAACAGTGCAGCCATGGATGCAGAAATCGTGTTAAGACCACTCATGGATTTTTTGGACAAGACGTAAGTTTTCTACCAAGTTTTCTCTTTACTTATTGCCCTAAATTTGACTGATAAGGCTTTATGGGGAAAAAAAAATATCTTTCTCTCTGTAAGATAGCTTTGAAAACATTGCTGGAGAAATAAATGAATTCATTAAGAAACAACACACTTTTAATTCATTAGTAGATGGTAAAAAAAAAAATCAGGAATGACTACACAGGAAAGAAAAAAAATGAAAAATGTAGGCAATGCAGGAGATTGCTGTTATGAGGCAGAGAGAGATTTTAGGATTTCATGCTCCTCGGATAACATATTGTTTTGCATCCTCCTGAATATAGAAAAATACTGAGCTGAGTCCATAATATCTGATTTCATGTCAGAAACCCACTGAAGAAAAGAGTAGCGCAAATGTGACTAGAATTAATTCAGCTCAGAGGCAAGCAGATAGCTGCCTGACTCAACCTTCAACAACTATCATTTGAGTGCCCGTCTGTACCAAACCTACTATAGGCACTGGACAGTAATGAAAAAGAAAGTCCAAGCGCCTGTTGCCATGGAGATTGCAGTCTAGTAATGGCGGAAGTGGGTAGGAATAGAGGCTTTTGTGACTGACTAACGCAGTGTTCCTAACCAGGAAGGTTGGTTGGTTGGTTGGTTGGTTGGTTGGTTGGTTGGTTGTTTTTTAACACATTAACTGCCACACTAGAAAAAAAAATTTTTTTTCCTGGGGACACAGTGTTTTAGTAAAACAAAATGAACCTTTCTAATTTGTTTTTTTTTTATGGTTTTTTTGGTACATGAGTTATATGCAACAACAATCCACATTTTTAGAATTTGTTGATACTAATTGTAACAATAAGAACATCAACTTATAAGATTTTCACGAACCAACTGCAGGGTTTTGCTTCATGCAGCCCTGGCCTCAAAGCTAGCCTTAATTAAATACAACTCACATGGAAGTCAATGTGTTAATGTTTCTTCTCTGTCCCTAGTCTTAGAAGTTCTAATTTAGTGGGCGAGGGTCAAGGTGCCTGTATTTTAAAATGTATCCACAATGGGGGACCATTGATATAAAGAAACCAGAGATATGATTTCATAAACAGTGATACTAAAAACCAGAACTGAAGGTAAAAGAGAAAAGTAAATAATAATTTTGAATGCCTACCAAGAGACCAGTGTTATATGTGGTAGTTTACATGTGTTATCTCATTTATGATTTTTGTGGCAAATTAATATGAAAGACAGCAAGATGTAAAAGAGGGATACTATTAATATACTTCTATTTAATATAAAAATAAAAAACAAAGAAAGAATTAGTGGGGAGCATCTCTTCTGTATATTTCTGACTTCTATTTTAATTCTGCCTCCCTTTGGCTATCATCTTACTGCATAAATAAGCCTGATATTCTTATCAATTTAATCTCACTATTTGGTAGAAAAATTAAGTCTTATATTCTTTTCTCTGTAGGGACATATCCAGAAGATAGGTGAATAGGTAACTAGATAACGAGAAAGTAGGTAGGCAAGTAGGTATATAAGAAAAGGAGAATAAAGAAGAGAAAGAGGAAAGGGAGTAAGAAAAGAAAGAGAAAGAAAAGGAAGAAAGAGAGAAACAGAAAGGACTTTTGTTTATTTCTTTAGTTTCTTAATGTGGACTTCTACCACATCATTTCCTATGCATTCCTTTGAAATGTTTACCTTATAGTAGGACTTTTTCTGTGGACAATACGGAATCAAATCATTATAGACCAGCATTGTGAATGTACTAGTGATAAAAAAGCAGGGCTAAGCCATGGTGATTCTCTTAAAACTCTCACTTGAATGCCTTCTGTGTTTTAGAACTCCAAACAGTAGTTTGGAGACACATTTATCATTTGTGAAACTGTTTTGTATATTCTATGATCAAAGTTGTACAACATAAAGTTTTAAATAATCTCGATATTGCCAATTACTACCTGAGTGTCTGTGAATCTATTTCACCATCTGTAAAATGGGGCTAATAGAGAAAGTGCGTTGACCCTTAGTTTCAATACATTTAGAGGCTTCTTTTACTCAGCCTTAATTTTCTACTTCTGATTATTATGTCATCATATAGGTCATTTCTTATAATTCTTAGCAGAAAGAGATATAAAGACAGAAAAGAATCTATGAGTTTTAAAAATTTGTGAAAGAGATTTAAAATTTTTTGAAATAGATATTGTATGAAGCAGAGATTCTGAGGTCTAATTCAGAATGAATGTCTTTAAAGCTACGAGTTAGGGAAGATATTTAAAAGTCAGATATTGATTTTGTTTTCAAACAGCTAATAGTTTAAGAGAAGAAATAAGAAAGGTACACAGATAAACATAATAAGGTGCAAAGGGAGAAATGAGTAGAAATTTCATTTCAACTTGAAAGAATGAGTAGAAATTACATTTGAGTTGTGTATGTAAAGGTGGATAGAGTTTGGATGTATCTGAGGGATGGGCATTCCAGGCAGAGGGAATACAGCTGGGTAAGTTTTCATGAAAATCTGATCCACTGTATAACAGGAAATCTCTATTGCCAGTCAGTCCATATGGCGGTTGACAATTGTCTGGTTAATTGGTTCTGTGTTCAGCCAATCTCCATAGCTCAGGTTCCAAAATATATGCTTTTCACCTTGCATTATCCAGTTAATTAACTCTGACTAAATTAAAAAGACAGTTGCTAAATTTCCCCTTTATTTTTCATTATTGAAAACAAACAGTAGAGGGCTGAAAGTCGTAAGGAGGGTTTTGAGAAAAATCCCCTTAGAAATCATGTTGTATAGGCATTCTGTCTTTGTGCAGCTGCTCTAAATAAAACATCTTATTTCTTTATGTTTCACTGTCTCCACCAAGACCTCACCACTTCATAAAATGAGCTGTAAACTCCATTTCCAACCATCAGAAATCCCACGAAGAGCTGCAAACATGTCAGTGATTTTATTGCTGTTCTTTCGGTTCCATTCCACGCAGAGTTAGTCAGCAGGCCAAGTATGTGAGCTGACCGTAAAAACAAGATCAGTTCTTAGACTCAGATCTTTTGAAAGTGGAAATTACACATCTGCAGCAAAACTAACAGATTTGCTATGTCTCAAATCATCCTGGGAATTTTTCTGAGGATAGCCTTGGTTGTTCTGCCATGGTTTGTACCCTGTCTGCTGGTTTCTACCCTGTCTGCCACCAATATTCACCAGCAAGATAGAAATGCAGCCCTTGAACAACAGTTTCCAAATTTGTGGACAGATATACCTCAGGGGTCTCTAAACCTCCTTTTCATCCAGAGAAGCTTGCTTTCATATATTTTTTACATATTGGGTTTCTACATACAATAGTATTAGGAGAAATGATGTTACATGAAAAATATATTTTGGAAATATCTATATTTGCCTCTCACATGTCACATGCTTTTAAATATTAATTAATTTTAATTATTTAAATATTAATTATGAGCCGGGTGCAGTGGTTCATGCCTGTAATCCCAGCACTCTGGTAGGCTGAGACGGAAAGATCACTTGAGGTCAGGAGTTTCGAGACCAGCCTGAGCAAGAGCGAGACCCACCTGAGCAAGAGCCAGACCCTGTCTCTACTAAATATAGAAAAATTAGCCAGGCACAGTGGCATACGCCTGTAGTCCCAGCTACTCAGGAGGCTGAGGCAGGAGGATTGCTTGAGCCCAGGACTTTGAAGTTGATGTGAGCTAGGCTGATGGCACAGCACTCTAGCCTAGGTGACAGAGCGAGACTCCATCTCAAAAATTAAAAAATTAATTAATTAAAAGATAAATATTAATTATGTGTGTCTTTAAATATTAAAAATAGTCAATTCTGTCTATCAGAACCAGAGCCTGGGTTATAATTTCTGATTCCAAAAGGCTACAGAGAACCTAGTAGCACTATAGGGATTCGATGAGGCTGTTCTGAAATACATGACCTGCTTTTGGCCCCCTGTGAAACAGGTTTAATTCACTCTAATTAAAGAAATGTCAAAGAGTCCAGTGTTATAGAACATGTAACAGGCATTTATGCATCACTGTGCCTTCATACATGCTGGGACTCCATGCATAGGCACCTTCATCACGGGCAGTATGGAACATTGAAAGACACGCTGAATTTAAAAGACAGCCTCATTTTGAATTTCACTTACTAGCTTCACTTTCTTGGGCTAGTACCATAACCTCTCTGAGCCTGTTTTTGATTTCTAAAATGGGTAAAATAATAAATGAGAAATATATGCTGAAGAGGTTTCTAAAGAAGAGGTTGTATAGTTACACAAAAGCTAGATAATGTTACAACATTGCCTTATCATGAGAGGAATTCATAAGGAATACCTTACACTTGTTAAATTTGGTAAATTTTGGTTCTTGACTGAAATCATATGCACCTTGGTCATGTTATGATGTTGATTCAGTGCCCAATAGTGATGAAAATGTATTTCCTTGGTGTTTGGCCTAGACCATGAACATGGGCATATACTAAACACACATCAGGGGTGTGTGTTAAAATTGTGTACTTTGGGAGCCTTGACTCCATTATAGTGAACTGTGTGCCCTCTTCTCCCATCGGGTGGGTGAAAAATAGTCGTTCTGCCATCCGTTTTTCAACCCCAGGCCAAACCCTGGTGACTGATCTCAGAAAGTGCTCTTGATTTAATAAGTATTAAGTATGAATGAAGAGGGATCCTTTACTTTTAAATGTATTTTACTTTGTGTGCTTTGAAAGTTACTTTTCATTTTGAAGCCTGTCAATTTAGGAAACAACTTAAGGAAAGAAATACTCTGATTTCACTTTCTAAGAAATAATTATTTAACAGGTGGTGTGATGAAATAGATTTTTGATATTATGTGTTTTTACATAATATTTTAGTAAATGGAATTTAGCACTTGAAAATTGTAAAGGCCTACTACTTGATACCTTGATATGCAATTTAAAAGTGAGTATACATTTTTGTTTTATTTCAGATTAAGTCTTTCAGCAAAAATCTGTGAGAAAACAGTTCTGAAGCGAGTTTTGAAAGAACTGTGGAAGCTAGTCCTTAACAAGATAGAAAAACAAATTGTTCTTCCTCCTCTGACAGATCAAACAGTAAATATTTATTTATTTATTTATTTTATTTTTTTATTTTCAAACAGTAAGTATTTAAACTTTAGTTGCTATACTTTCAATAACCCATCTTTTTTTGTCTAAATGAATAGTTTTGATCCAGATGAAATTCTAATTAATTAAATCCATTTTGAGAAAAAAAAAGTGTTTGGTATACAGCTTTTCAACAATGATGATTTAAATTACATTTTCCTATTCAAGTCCATTTTAAATTGTGGCAGCATGAGACAGACTTCATACTTACTTGACATTCAAAACTTTATCTCTTAAAAAATGTATCGAAGTTCAATTCATAATGTTATCTAGCCTATGCATATAATTTTTTTATTTAATTTTACTGTTACCACAGGAAAATAGATTTAAGATACAATATATCTACTGTGTTTCTTTCTTAAATTTTAGAGTTTGAAGAGATAGTTCAAACACTGCTATATGGGATTTTTTTTTTTTACCTTTCCATTCTGCTTTCCTCTATTACCTTCCCACTTGGAGGTTAATAGAGGAAGCACCTTTTAGTGGATTTGAAGAATGTGATTGTATCACACACAGTGAAATATAAAAGAACCAGAAAGATCAATTGGCAGCAGAATTAGACAAGGGTCAAGTGGATACACAGTGCTGGGTATCTCAGTTCATATACCTTGAGCCAAGCAAGAAAAAAATAACCCCAACAAGCACCTGTTAAGGAGTAATTGATATTTTTTCTGTGATTGAAGAAATTGATACAAATAATTAGTAATTATAAACTAAATGAAATTACTTATTAACTCCTTAATTATGCATAGTCAGTTCATGTTTATCCAGTAAAATTATATGTACAGGAAATATTTTCTTATAAAGTATTCCAGGATGCAAAGATGCACATGTTTTTGTTGATTTACTGCCAGACTGAGTAATAAAACACAAATTACTTTCAGTTTTGCTTAATGCCATGAATACGTGGTTTAATTATTTATAGACTACATAAACAGGTAGCCTAATCACATATATAAATACACACACACACGCATACCTTATTCTGATAAAGTACATAATACATTTCTGTAACACCAGTTAGTTCTCATGTAGTTGTTCAATAGGAGGATGATGTCAGTATAATCTGAAAGTTGAGTTGATTTATATGTAAACTTCCCTACATCAGAGATTGGAATATAATAGAAGAACTATAGCTTTGATAGAAAAGGAAAGGGCTCTCACCTTGGCTACTGCACAAGTCTGTTTAAAAAAAAAAAAAAAAAAAGAGGGGAGCAGACTCCCTCTCCAGACAGTTTCACCTTGCAGGCTTTCACATATGACCGGCTATCCTCCACCTGTGTTGGGAGCTCCACTTGGCTTGGGCATTGTCTCAGTACACGATTGAACTATATTGTTTTGTGTTTGTTTAGGTTGCTTTTTTTTTCTTTTCTGTTTTTTTTTTTTTTTGCATTTTTAATATCCCTTGAGGCAGCCACCAACCTCAATGCATTCTCCTCCAGCTGTCCAAGCCATGTCCCAAAGTATCAATTATTAGTTTTAATAGTTCTTTAGTAACAAAATTGCATGGGCTTTGACTACACTGCCCACTGCTATTTTCCCCATGAGCCCTATTATTTTTAATGTGCAATCTTGTAGAATATGAGGGGTTTTTTTAAATGTATATATCATGTTACAGTAGAAATGCTATATATGACATTTCGTTTTCTTTATAAAGTTTTCCCTAGGAAAGCTTACCATCACCTGAAGTTTCTCTCGCATTGGAATCTCAAAGTGTGAACCTATATCATTCATTTATTAGTTCATAGAATAAATATTCTTTGAGCTTCTATGTACTATGCACTGTACTGGGTTCTGGGGAAAAAAATACAATAGCTACTATCTATTGATTACATTTCTTTTGTGACTACTACGGTAGATCTTAAGACTGAGTATTCTCTCTCTTTTTCTTTGTATGTTTCTAGGGACCCCAGATGATTTTCATTGCAGCTAAAGATATTGGACAATTATCCAAACTGAAGGTAATAAGAATAAGGAAATTACTCATTGTCCATGGAAAGTAATGAGCTAACTATAGTTTTACAAGAAACCACCCTCCTACTAGTGATCGTATCTAGCATGGTAGGATTAAGGAGTTGTATGCCTGTGATCTCACAGTCTGCTTTATGCATTTTTAACTTTGTATTGTAGCATTCAGCATTATTTCTTTTGGAGTAAATAGAGAACATATTTTCTTTCATATATTAAACTGGCTTTGTATGAATGAAGGCAAAATGGAACCCTGCGTAGAAATCCAATCTGAAAGCCAACAAACCCAATATGGTGAAATGAAACTCATCAAAACAGACATTGAGCTTGTCAGTATGTCCAATCCCATTATAAGTGGAGATGTTCTGACTAAATAACCCTACCCTTAATTATCACTTAAGATTCCCAAAACTTTGGAGTTATGGAGGGAACCTTAGTCCCTCTCTTTCTAGGATAGGAACTTGACTGGTTAAACTACATGTTTTTATTTCATTCTACCTACTAGCATATAGTTAGGGGATAGGTTTTAGACAAAGATGATCTTGGTTTAAATTCTTCCTCAACTGCTTCTAGCTATGTGACACAGTCCAAAGTATGTAACCTTTCTCATCTTCAGATTCAGCATTTGTAAAATGCAAAAAAATTTAACACTTGGTTATTAGGATTTGTTGCTGGTATAAGTGAGATAATGCATGCATCACCTTTGCATGGTAACTGCAAAGAGTATGCTACCTCCCACTTAAAGAGGGAGCTATCTTCATTTCTTTCCCTGCTGATAGCTCAAAGTTAGGTATCACTGGGTATTGTATTGTTTTGTGTGTACAATACGGGGAAGGACACCATTGTGCATAGTTATTTACTGAGGTAAAATACATGCCTTATAATTTCAGTATCTTATTTTATCATCTACATTATCCCCTTCTTGAGAAAAAAAAATTAAAACCAATAATCCATATAGAAGACATAAGCATCACCTAAAATTGTTTCTCAGAGGTGTTCAGTGCTATTGATGATTAAGAGGAAAGGCAGATGGCAGATGTCACTGCCAAACTATTGTTTTGGATGTTGGATCCCTGTCCCCTTCTTAATCCCTTCTATTACCTCCATGGGATTTCTGGAGCTGACTTTGAAGAGTGGATTTATATAGTGTTGAAGTTTCTCACATAAAACCATGAAGGTGAAATAGCATAGGAATCATTACAAAAGAAATGGCCCTCACCATGCATCTAGCATCTGTGTGACATTAGTAAACACACTCCATGTCCCTGGTCTTTAGTTTCCTAAGCTGAATGTTCTATTAGCTAGAATTGTTCCAGTTCAAGTGATGGAAAGACAAACTAACACAATCAAAGAGGGAATTCATTGGTACATGAAGTTTTAAGGTCCAGGGGACCTCTGGTTGCTATTACTGGTTGATTAGGGATTCAAACAATGTTACAGGACCTGCTCACTATTGTTCAACTCTGCTCTTCTCTTTGATTAATGTATTGCCCTAACAGACCTTCATTCCTGTTTGAAATAGGGTTGTCGTTGCTCTTACATCCTTTGATGTCACCTCCTTTCAACTTCTAATCTTGTAGAAAAGAGCAACCATCTCGGTGCAAGGGTCGCCAATAAGTCTACCGGCACATTACTGATTCTGAGGGAGTGTCAGCCCCATTCCTAAGCCATCACTGTGTCCTGTACCAATTAGTTTAACTCACATGCCTACCATTGAACTGGGGCTGCAGTCAGCCTTGTCCAGAACTCCCAGTGGGCTAGAGACTAGCTCTCCAGGGGATATGTACACACTGATGAGAAAAATCAGAGTACATAGAAAACATCCATTGGCACCTTTTGTGGCCCCCAAATCCAATTTAGTGAAGTTTTCTGTTCTAATAACCTAAAAGCAAACTATGAATAAAATGGCCTAACAATATTACTTCATCAACATTGAAATAATCTGGAAGAAAAAAAATAGAATCTCATTATCCATTGGTAATGAGAAAAATAAGTCATTTCTAGATCATGTTATTCTATTATTGGCCCTTGCTTTTTTTATTTTTTTTCAACAGTTAGCCATTCTGTTTTTACAACAGGTTTATTTCTTAATGATGTACAACTTATCAGCTCTACAATAATTCATGTCAAACTTTAAGTCAGTATTTCTCTTTGTAGTAAAAACATACCTTGTTCTGTGTATAGCTAAATAAACAAGTGCAATGGGAGAGCAGTCTTGGACAACTTTTAAGAAAAGATGACAGTGAGGCATCGTGTGGAGTTATATTTAAAAAATGGGAAATTAAATGCAATTCAGAAATTAAAAAAAATAAACATCTTACATATGTTTGTCATGCACACTTCTCACCTATTATAAGGATGACTATAAGAGTCTTTTGGGAGAGAGCCTAAAAGATGTTGATTTTTTATTTTTAAAGTATTAGTCTATTTAGTTTAAATTACACAGCAGTAAATACTCTATAATCTTATACAAAAATTGAAACTCCAGCGGCACGAAGACCTTCAAATTTTACAATGCTATTATTCTTATTTTACTAGAATGTCACTGCTATTTTTTTTAAATGTAAACCATAGGTCTTTAAATTTTTAATATGTTAGCTTGAAAGTAGATTTGATTTGCTGGAAAGGTGCTATTCGAAATAATTATACTGATGGATAATTTCAGAGCTCCTATTTAGAAACACTAATAGATAACTATTTTATTTAAATAAACACAAGATGAAGAAAAATAAAACAATGTAGAGAACTAATTGTTTTCCTGCATTGGACTATGATTTAGGATTCATTCATTAAACACATATTTATTCAACAGATTGACATTTATATTACTTCATACTCTGGAACTTCATCATGTATGTATATTATATATGTCTAATATTATTTGATGTGGTCAGATTTAATTAACATAAAATGAAAGAAAATATGCATAAATTTTCATGAACTAGTGATACAGTATCAAAACTAATTAATAAAATACACCTAAGACTATGAGTTTATTTCAAGCTTTTCACTTGGACAGTAATTCCCATTGCTGGCTTCCTTCAAAGACCCCCTTGAATGCTGACCTCTTTCAGAGCCCCCCACCTCACTGAATGAGCTGTTGTTAAATCCCCCAAAAAATGTTTCTAGCAAGAATTATATTTTTCTATAGCACTAACAAATATTATTAATATCTGTTAAAAAATAATGTGACCACATTGTAAAACCAGTGAAGATTGATAAAGCCAGAGAAATTTATTTAATATAAAATACTTGTAATTACTTGTCAAAAGCATTCCCCCCTATAACTCAGCCAACATTTTCTATTACTCTTTGAGTTTCAGTAGGTGTTTAACACTACTATTCAAAAATATTAAATGAACTCGTATGTTTCAGCTGAAATCCCTATATCAAAGAAAAATGCGGTAAGATGCATAAATGTATATCATGGATCCATGAAGCATTACACGAAGTTTTTAACAGTATTCAAAGGCAATGATTCCTTTCAAATACATTGAACCCTATGAGATATGCTGAAGGAAATACAATTCAATTACCAAAAATATATTTAGTACCTACCAGGTGACAATTGCCAAGGTAAACATTGAAAAGCTGAAGAAGTGGGTAAGACATAGAGGTTATCTTTAGGAACTCATGGAAATTACTAAATAAAAGAATAAGAAAAAGGCCAGAATGGATGGACAAGTCACTGAGTGTGATTGCAAAATTTGCACATTGCACAAAAGTGCCTGGCTAAGGGAGCAAGTGACAGCTAAATTCAAGTCCAGGCTTCACTTACCAAGCCATGTGTGCTGACTGGAAGCTGTACCCTCACAGAGAAAGAGACACCTTTTATTACTGACCAAAGGTACTACTCCTTTGTCAGGCCATGCATTCTCAGAGCTGTGACCACCCACATGGGACTTTTCCTCTAAGTCACAATTACATGAGTTAGAATTTAAGCTCCAGAAGGAAAAAAAAATTATCCTGTTATTGAACAGCATATTTCAATCACCTAGAGTGGCACTGGCACATAATAAATAGTCAATAAATATTTGGTGAATGTGGCTGAATAGATTCATGGCAACCCTGGGAAGATCATATCAATTTGTGGTGGGGGAAGGGTCAGAAATGTTTACATTTTTTCCTGTTATACAAATTTCTATTCGCTTTATTATTTTCTCTAACTTTCTACCATCATTTCCCCAAATAACCTTTGAAGGATGGGTCGAGACAGACCACAGTGAATAATGAAGGAAATCCATTGTAAAATGATGAAGTCAGTTTTAAGATCAGTTCTAAAATATTTTAAAGGATTATGAAATATTTTGAAACTCTCCAGAGTCAAATTCAGTTAATTCTTTGTGGTTTTTTTCTAGTAATGAGTAAGCATAAAGGGGATCCAAAAGAGAGAATAAGGTGAGAGTATTAGGTTTAAAATAGACCTTATTGGTAACAATTGGGAGAGGCTAAAATTTGCCCCTTACATCTTGTCCATGATTGACATTCCTCAGTGTGACAGACATAAAGCAAGGAACTCAGGTACAAAAGCTTTGACACATATCTTTCAGGTTTCTCTCTTCTTTTCCTAACATTAACTTGCAAGTGAAAATAAAGGGTATCAAATACTGCTTTTTTAAGTCAACATTTAACATTTCTTCCTTTGGCAAAGGTACATTTATTAAATATATGACAAAATAACCATTTAAAATGCATCCATATGAAGAAGATATTTCAAATAGGAAATGTTTGCATATGGGAGGTATACAGATTTTGTTTGAAAGTAGGTGTTGAATAAATGAACTGATCATTTTGTAAGCAATTGTTAACCCATTTTCCAGGAGCACATGATTCGAGAGGATGCCAAGGGTCTGACACCAAGACAGTGTGCTGTAATGGAGGTGGTCCTGGCTACCATCAAGGTAAGGATATAGTTCCCCTGGATGAGAATGAAATAACTAATTTTTGGAGTTATAGGAGCACTAATTGCTACATATAGGGATATGCTAATAGATAAAAATATGAGATCTAGAGTGTACCATGAAAAGGGAAATAATAAAATTTTTAGAATGTGAATTTATCCCTTCCAGGTGAATGCATGACTTTAGGAGGGGAAGGAAAATGTGTTCTGTGGAAATAGGGAACAGCATCCAATGTGCTGACAGACCTGGCCCCCATGCCCCACCCCAACATTTCTCTAGTTATTCCTGGTGGGGCCAGATAACTACCACCTGCAGGCTGAGTTCTGCCCAGATTCTAAGATAATCTTGGTCGCCAGAAAAATCCCTTTGATCCACATCTTGACAGCTCAAGCATCCTATATTTCTGTTCAGGTCAACTGTGATAATCTTTGAATTCAATCTCAGCCACCAGACACTTACCTTGTTCTTTGAGGATGAAACTATTATCTGGTGTCTGAAATCCAAGAAATGGGTCCATGTCATTGTTTCATTTCTCAAGGACTGGAGTCTGATTCTGGTCTTTCTGAGCCACAGAGCCTGTGGTCAGGTCTCCAGGTCCCCTGTTTCCTAACTTCTGTGATGCCAATTTTTTCTCCAGGAACCTGCATGCTAGGGCTGCCTTGCCTGCTATGAGACTCTCTTGACCCTGTAGACTGCCTATCTGAGAAAGTATTCACTTGATATCTGATATCTGATTTTCAATGCCTGTCATCAGTTTACCAAAGCTTAGACTTCCTTTATCTTGTCTGCCTCTGAGATTTGCCCCAACTGACTGTCCCACCAAGTAGTAATTCTGATGCTGACTCCAAAGGAATTCGGGAGGAGAACTACTTCAAGTGTTTTAACACTATGAGCTAGAGATTCAATGTTTGCCTGTAGCTCAGGAAAGGGAGCACTATAACACAGAGACCTCAGGAGAAAGATGTTCTTAGACCAAAACAGCAGATGTTACCCAGGCTAATTCCCAATGGCTGCCAAAGAGATGATGCCTAATTCCTCTCAATCTAACTGAATAAGCTGGAAATGAGAAAATGAAGGAAAATGCTATGGAGTTTGTAGAACATAGGCTGAAATAATGTTTTATTTTTTCTTTCAAATCTCTCTCATGTTTGTATATCATCTCACCTAATCCTTAAAAACATCTTTGGTGTTAAATAGGTCAAGAGTGATCATTCACATTTTATAGGGTGAGAAAATTATAGGTAAGGGGATTAAAGTTGTTTGTCCAAGACCCTACTGTGGCTAGTAATTGGCAGAGCTGAGAAAGAGCTCCAACGCCAGTGTCCTTACTCCTCTGTCATATTTTTTCGCAAATGTTTACCAAGTGCAAATAAAATATAGCAGGCCAAAATGGATAATGTTGCCTCAGAGGGATTACTTCTTTCTACATTAAAATGCCGTGTGTCGATTATTCAGATTCTTTTCTAATAATTTAAAAATTCCCAGCCTTATATAAGGATGTAAATATTAACTTTTCTAAATACTAAAACTTTAATTGGGCTGGAACTATTTTGTCACACCAGTCACATGTAGCTTCAGTTGTAATTCATGGGTGTGAAATATGGCAGAAGTAACAGAAATCATGGTCATCTGCTATAGGTAAGATGTTAGACTTTGAGATATTCTATCTACCTGATAAAACAGCCGAATCAATGGTAGTCGAAAGTAAAAGTAGTAAGGTGACAGCATGAGACAGTTAACCAACAACCTAATCATTATGTGCAAACTAGTGGAGAGGTCAATAGGGAAACTCTGGTCTGAAGGGGTCCTAGTTGGACTTTGAGTCCCAACCCCATACCTTAAAATGACTCAGGACTGCCATAAGATTCCCTGAAATGTGGGTGTCTTTCAAAGAGAAACATGAGGCCTTTTCCTGATAGCAGCTACTCTTTGACTTGGAAAAAAGCTAGAGCTGGTTTGGTTTTTCCCACCCTTTCAAAAACCTGGAACTCTTGCTCTATGGACCTGAACATGACACTGTTTTATTTGTTGCAGATATATTTGGCATTGTGCAATACAGAGATTTCTCTAAAAACAATATACATGTGGACCATGGCCCTCTAGAAATCTGTAATTTTTGGTATAAGGGAAATAATTTAGACTACATATAAATTCAAATATAGCTTTGGATTTTATTACTGTCCTATTTAATCCTAGATAATACCATTCCTTATACTCGGGATTGCAGACAAGCAGAAGAATATGTTGATGAACCACATTTTATGCCCTGGAGTTTCTAACCCTCACTGAGGTCCTGTCCTATTTTCCTATCTGTTACCCATGTGGCAGTTTTAGTGGCTGCTTCTCAGTGTCTTCTTTATCATCACAAGTATAATTTTCACACTATTTCAAATCTAGCTCCTCAAAAGAAGAACAATATAACCTACCTAGTTTGGAGTATTGCAACTCAAAGATCATTATTTGAGAGCTTGCTGCTTGTAGAAAATATAGTAAGTAATGAGGAAGTGGCTGGAGATGGGACTCTTGCCTTTGACTTGGGGGAAATAAAACACCTACAGTCAATGAAATGAAAGAACTGTAGACAAACTGGGGAGGGTAGAGAGGGTGATGAATTTTCTCTAAATGTCTAGGGGAAAAGCTTCCTGGAGGGGGACATTTTGGAATTTGGAGAATGAAGAGGGACAAAACAATGAGAGAAGGGCATGGTAGGACTAACGAAGTAAAAAGAATGAGTGATATAAGAAAAAATATTGGTCAGCCTGAAAACTTCAAATTTTCTAGCATGATAACTGGCTGAATATCACAGGGAATGCAAAAGGAACTTTGGGTTGGGGCCAGAATGCTGAGGCTTGAACACCAAAGTAAAGATCCTCAACTTTATTTTGTCAGCAAAAGGGAAACCCTAAAATATTTTATGGGAGGGAATAGCTTATTATGATCTGATGTATAAAAGAGGATTCCAGTTGTGGCAGAAAATAATTTTTAAATACATTTTCAAATAATTATTTTTCAAATAATTCCTAAAAAAAGAAAACTTAGTGATTAACCATTAAAATTATAAAGTTAAAGTGGGTTATGGTTATGTGTAAATTTGCAAAAATGAATTGTCTGCCTAGATTTGCCAAAATTATGAAACAGGTATGGGAAAGAAAAATTGATGATGGGCATTGCTACTAAAATAGTGTATATATAACCAAAAAGGGAATTCTTCTTACAATCTTGTGAAGAAGCATTGGCATATTCCCATAAGTCAGTAAAAATAGATTGTGAAAGATTTTCAATCTTGAAGAGTTAGAAGAATTTAGAGAGTTTTGTTGGGATTATAAAAAGAATGGCTTGCTAAGCATGCAGACAATGTTTTTCTTGGTTTTTATTTAGTAGTGCTATTTTTTTTCCCCATATATCACAACTAGGTCTGATGTGCTTTATTTTCTGCCTTGTCATAAAGAATATAGGAAACAGAAAAAAAAAAAAAAGTTCAGCTATTTTTCAAGACAAAGAAAATAGAAGAAATTGAATAGAATTGAATACAAGAAACTGACCTCTCCACTAGTTTACACACAATACTTCATATACTTCCCAATCCCCATTCAGATGTGATGAGGGTGCGCCTCACCACCTACCCTTACCTTAGTGAAACAAGCATATTAATGTATCTAGAGTGGAAGCCTTTACCAATGTCAGAAGACGGCTAGGAATACAAACCTAGATAAACGATCAGAAACTATGTGGGGGATTGTACCACTGACAAGTACAGTAGTGGGATAGTGGGTGATTAAGAGAGAGAAGGACACAAGTATGCAAGTTACTCTCCTCTCCTCTGGGAATAATAATACTACTTAAAGGATTATTGAGAGAAAATTAAATGAGTTATCACATTTAATACAATTAAAATAGTTCCTGACATGCAGAAAACTCTTCATAAATATTAACTACCCTATCGCTTGAGGACTGGTTCATTTAGATTCTCTTTCCACTGTTAAGCCCAAGATCCCACATACTCTACTGCAAACTGTGTGGGGTTTTTTCCCTCTTTTCCTAATAAACCCTTCATTCTCTCCCAGTAAAGCTAACTATTAATTCTGACTCTGCCCCAAGCAACAGTTCAAGTTTTTTAAGACTTTGTCCTCTGGGCTTTTGGTTTCCTGTGCAAAGCACATTGTCAGTACAATGGCACAAACCCACCTAGGATTCTTGAGCACTCCCCTTAGTCTTCCCTTTGAGAAGCAGAGCTGTTCTTTCTCTCGAGGAGTTTGTAATCTACATTAAAAGATGAGAGAGGCACATTGAAAATTCAATAATGATATGTGTTAATTCACAACATGATAGTGTAAGAGTGGAACAGGATGATACATATACTAACTGAGGGGTGCAGATAAAAAGTCTTAAGTGTTAAGTGGGTGGTGAGCAACTGGTAAGGACTCGAGATCAGGAAAAGTTTATGGTCTTGAAGGACAGAGGGGCATGCACAGGTTGGATAGGAAGTTTTCCTGGGGGGAATACTGATGACATGAACATAATCAGGGAAAAAGGATCTCACCATGAAAAGGTGCTAGACACAAAGGCTGGGAGACGATGAGTAGACTGCTCTGGACGTACCTGGGTGTCTGCATAATGAAGCAGTGTAAAATAAAGTTGAGAAGAAATGTTTAGTTTGAAGATAGAGAGGTCCTTATGTGTCCTCAGTATATTCTTAAGAAAAAGGATCCATTGATGCTTTTGAAAATATGATATGCTAAAAATATTATTTCAGCAATAGTGATCTTAGAGAATTGTGCAAATTAGATTGCATAGTTCAAGATCATAGTCACAGAGATCAGTTACAGTTAATTAATTCAAAAGATGATGAGGACTGTCACCAGGGTGGTGGCTTTAGGAGTTAAAAGTGAAAGATAGAGATGATAATGCAAGGAAGGGAGAGTCGTTGGAAGCTGGCAACTAAATACAGGGCAAGAGGGAAAGGGAGCCTAGTGTGACTTAGGATGTTTCAGCCCCAGTGA